CTGGTTGAGGGTAATGCCCTAGAGATGAAACACATGGCTCTGCTAAGAGAATAAAACATAATTTCTCTCAAGGTACTGATGTTTGGCAGAAAGAAAAAAAAAAAGAAAGAATGACTGTGAATGCTTTGACTTATAAAACATCTTTGAGAAAGATTTCTCAAAAGCACATAAATAAATCAGTTTCTGTATTATACTAAAATTGGGACCACTTCTTTTCCGAAGCACTGGAATTTAAGGAGGCACACTTGAGACTTGCCTGTAACTCTGAGGCTACATTATAAGGTCTAGGAACCCAGGAAAAAAAGTCCATTTCCCTTCTTTGTATGTGGTATTTTTTGAAACTAACTAGTACACTTAACACTTAAAAATCAGCAGTCAACACTAATGTAACTGTTTAATCTTTTCTTTAAGAGGCACCAACAAATTTCAAGTATGATTCTAATGCAGTAGGGGACAAGGTAGTTGTCCAAGGGGAAAAAAAAAATGCCCAGAATAAACAAATGGTGACCTATTAGATGAGCATAATCTAAAATTCTGCCAACACACTAACAGAGCTTTTCAGCTTTAGAGCTGTCCTTCACAGCCCTGGCCTTCCACAATTCCGTTTCTGAGTTTCAGATAGAGAGCGGATAGAAGCAAGCCACTGGAAATAATGTACACTTTGTAAACAGCCCTGGAACATTTTACTTAGAGTAGTCTCTATGGTGGGGTTAAGCTTACACAATAAATTATTTTAAACACTGTATATAAATATATGCACTTTTGCTCCATGGAATTCTGATTACGAGCGGGATTGTTACCTGCTTACAAAGCACTGTATTATATCTCCTTATCCACTTCTACCCAATGTCACGCCGCTGTTTTCATTTTGAAGGGTTTTGCTTCCCTCTCTCTCTTTTTTCCCCTCTGTATCCCTCTTTTTAAAAACAACTACAGTCTATCATTCTCACTCTGCTGTCTGGCTGTATTTTTCCACTGCACTGACAACTACCAGTGAACACAAGAAAGATGAGTTGTAGGCTCCTGTATTTCTGAACCAGGTAGCAAATCACAGAAGAATCCAGTGCATAATTCTGCAAGTTTAACCGTTGGGAGCAGTAAAGACCATTATTTTCTCCCTACTGTTGGCAGGGGTCAGCATCCCTGTCATTAGCTGTGTCAAACTATAATTATGTAACTGCACTTTATGTGAGCAGATACCTGAAAACACTGTAAAGTTGCAAGTATGAAAATATACCAATCCTTCTTACGGTACTGATCGAAGCGGTCTTTGGAGGTGACACTTCAATATGGAAAGCCACACGGATGTTATTCATTGCTCTCTACATAAACATTTAAACTTACCATCCGACTTCTTCAAGCAGCTCGAAATCCCTGACCATATTCTTCTATCTATCAAATTAGGACACTCGGATTATCAAAGTTATTTCTTTTGTAGCATTCAGTTAAGGGACATAGTGTTTCTTAAAATAAACTTCAACTGAACAGACTACTCATATTAGCCCATAAATGTCTGAAATGCAATTATGCTTCGAGTTTCAAGAGGCGAACAATACAACCCCAACTCTAAATCTGTCTGTCCGGCGTAAGAGCTCCACTCTGTTATTTCAAAGGCTGACCTATATACCGCAGCATACCGTCCATTCTGTCTGTTTGTATAAGAGATACCTCACACAGTTGTCATAACCAACATTGTTTGCATTGTTCTTTCACTTTTCTCTCTCCATGGGCAATGCGAAAGAAACAAGGAAAAGCCTGCGTAACAATATATGCAGAGGATAATGAGCTTTCACAGCAGATCGAGAAATATTAGACTAAGATGCTTAGAATGCTATTTTAGGTTTATAAAATAAAGATCTAAGCAGTCTTCTGAAACAAAGCCTGCCAACTGAAAATTGTAAGATAAGAGGCGACTGTTTGAATCTACATTACTGCATTTTCCTCTGGCTACAGAAAAATGCACTGTCAATACCTCCCGTGCATGTGCCTGGGAACTCACTCATACGCTGCGAACAGTCATCTGATCCAGAAAAAAACTAGTGCTAACAGAACAATTAGAAAACTTAAAAGCAAAGTATTTGTGGAATACATTCTAAATTGTCAGCAGCTCAAGCAGACTTGAAATGTAAAGAATCAAAGTCTTCCGTATTTGTCAAAAAAAAACCAACCCCAAAAACCAAAACCCAAAACCCAGGTATGAAAACAAGGGCCAAATCCACTAGTGAGTGCCCAAAGTAAGTTTTAACTAACTTCGGAAGAAACGAGATCCAGTTCTGAATGAGTTTTGCAGGTAAACACCTAATCAAGACCACCATTCCCACCCAGAACCCGGATCCATCATACTCCAGCCATCACCTCCTTTCCTGGGAGAGATCAAGAGCAAACACTCAACCAAACTTACTGAACACAAAATTCCGCAGGCCCCCCCCGCCCTTCAAACTCCCTCAATACACAGAGCACGAAAATGAGTGACAGAGCAATACTGTAACATGACGACACGTTCAGAACAAGTCAGGTAAGTTTTCACAGCTATGTTAATCATGCGGGGCGAAGGGAGAGAGTGAAGGGGGTGAAAAATGAAATGTTCGGTAAATGTACGCCTCCAAGGGGCCTGGCAAACCTGCTCTGTCCATTTAATGTGATCAATGGTCAGTGGCAAAGCCATCTGAAAGAGACATTTGTCCTGTACTCGGTATCTTATATTGAAACATTCCTGGTTAAGTCTTTTCCAAGCATAAAACATATGTCTTATGACTGTGCACTTTTAAGCACATTATCAGTTCAGGCAAAGTGAAATAGAAGAGCTGCAACTTGTCTACAGAATAAGTGTCTCATTTGCATTTAAAAAGAACAGTTTGCTCCCTCATACATGGCATGACTTAAAAGAAGCCTTAACCAGCTAGTAAAGAAATTCCGAAAACGACTTTCGAAATGAATTTATTCGATTTGCAGTGCAACCCACCAAAAATGATTTAAGGAACTTAATTGGAAAATGATTTAATATATTAAAGTAATTCCTGATTTTCCAAAGCATTTAACTTTTAAATTAAATCTGGTCCACTATCTCAAGAATGATGAGTGAAATGTGTATTCAAGTCATTACCTTCTTTTTGAAGCTTTAAATCACTGATAGGTTTAATAACGTTTGTCCAGTTTCATTGCCAAATGGGTCTTCAGACACTTTGGTGCTTATGTCACTAGCGTGAGCCCAAGCCTCTCGCTTGGCAACGCTTTACGGTTACAATTTACAAAAACAGACAAGAGAGAAAAAATAACGGCAAGCCACAGATCCAAGGTAGCGGTAGCCTCATGACTAACTAAAGCACTTACC